GAGTGTGCAATCATGGACAACCCTCAAAACGCAATATTTCGATTGATATTTTCTAAAGACTTTAGACATACAAGTGAAATACTCACAATAGTAATTCCTGGTACAATAGGAAACGATTGGGAAAAGTTGCCAGCAGCTATTGTTTTGCCATTCAGTAAGTTTCAGAAAGGTTTATATAATAGTAAAATGTACATAAATCTCTTGTATTCAATGAAATGAAATGACGATACATTAAAAAAAAGAAGGGGAGGAGAAGCAGGCAGATAATAGTCAGCAAACAGACACACAGGCCCGCAAAGTGATGTTGACAGAAAAAAAAGAGTTCATAAGATTTACAGTAAGATGAGTTACAGATGGTAAGAAAATAAAGGATGAAGAGAGATACGTAGATGGAAACAAGGACAATAAATAAACAAAAAAGGCACGTCAACTGAAGCTACACCAAAAGAAAATGAATTAAGAGGCAAGTAAGATAAAGGGACGCGTGGAAATGTTAATTGACATAAAATGATATAGACATAAAATACAGAAATGTCGTAATATACATATATATGTGTGTGTGTGTGTGTGTGTGTGTATAAATGTATGTGTGTATATGCATATATGTGTGTGTGTGAGGGAGGATATATATATACATGTGTGTGTGTGTGTGTGTGTGTGTGTGTGTATTTACTTATTAATCATTTATATATATATACATATATGTTTACTTATCAATCATTTATATATATACAAATATATTTACATGTATATATATATATATATATATATATATATATATATATATATGTGTGTGTGTTTGTGTGTGTGTGTGTGTGTGTGATTATGTGTGTGTGGGGGTGTGGGTGTGAGTGTGGGTGTGTATGTGTGTATACATATGTGTATATATATATATTGTGTGTGAGTTTGTGTGTGTGTGTGTGTGTGTGTGTGAGAGAGAGAGAGAGTTTGCGTGAGTTTGTGTGTGTACGTGTGTGTGTGTGTGTGTGTGTGTGTGTGTGCGCGAGTATGTGTGTGCATACATACAAAATATATATATACTATATATATATATATATATATATATATATATATATATATATATATATATACATATATATATATATATATATATATATATATATATATATATATTATACATGTACATATATATATATATATATATATATATATATATATATATATATATATATATATATATATGTACATGTATAATATATATATATATATATATATATATATATATATATATATATATATATATATACATATATATATATATATATATATATATATATATATATATATATATATATATATATATATATTATACATGTACATATATATATATATATATATATATATATATATATATATATATGTGTGTGTGTGTGTGTGTGTGTGTGTGTGTGTGTGTGTGTGTGTGTGTACATATATATATATATATATATATATATATATATATATATATATATATATATATATATATGTATATATATATATATATATATATATATATATATATATATATATATATGATAGATATAGATAATAATATATAAAGGGGAACACATAACGATACAGATATGGCAGGCAGTAACAGAAAAAAAAGTATAAACACAGGAAAACAAAAACTGACAGAGACAGACAGAGAGCCCCACATGCAAACACCTCTATAAAGGATGAAGAGAGGCTGCTTAGGGAAAGATTTTTTCATAGTACGGCGCACCCAGTACGTCTCATTTTTCATGGATATCACGTTAATTTCAAGTTCATTTCAGTCAATTTCGCTTTTAGTCTTTAATTTGTCAACATGCCACATGTCAAGATTTTTTTATTACTAATAAAATAAATAATTTAATATTGACCTTAAGGTATGTTTTCCTTTTCCTTTTTCTTTTCGTGTTCAAAAAGGTTATAACTGCCTGGCCTATTTTCCATTACAGCCCCTTCCTTCACCCTACCCTCCGCTCTGCAGTTGAGCACATCTTGTTCGATGCCATTTTTATTCTATATCTATTCTAACTTTTATTATCTGGCCAAAATAAATGAATCCTTTTTTCCAATATTACATATTTGTTTCGCCGCGCAAAATGAGGTCGATGAAACATTTCGGTCTTGCATTTTAAGCACTTGCAAGAACGTTCCCAATCTTCAAAAAGCCATATTCAAGAATAATCAAGTCATCACAACTCCTTGTCACCAATAACATCTTCAAGGGTATATCTTCAAGACAGTATCCATCTAGAAACACTAGTAGATAAATGATATATAAACAAATGTGCGTTATGTGCGTGTGGCGGGTGTATGTGTGTCTGTGTGTGCTTAAGTGTGTGCGTTCGTGCGTGCTTAAGTGAACTTGTAGCCTCATGAAGAATGCAGAAGAATGCCTTGAGCTGTTCGAGAAGAAAAAAAAGAAGGCATAAAGGGAGGAGCTTCCAGGTGATCCGCCCCGCTGGTATATAAAGGTCTTCTAATCACCGCACTGTGTCTGTCACCTCATGACTATCACCATGAACACCTTGGTTAGCATCAAGCAGTGTAGTTTTGAATTCGAAAAGTGTGACTGGTATATTCTGCGCAGTCTTGTGGAACACACTGCATTATCGGCATTTAATGGTTCATGTAATTAAAAATTGTCTATTTCTCATTCAGATCTGTAACTACCCCCCTTTTCATCCCATTTCTAGGCTGTCTTCGTCTGCCTCGCCGCCGTCGCCGCGGCCTCCCCGCAGTTCAGGAATCAGCCCCGCCAGACCTTCCAGGACGAGCGTCAGGTGGCCATCTTGAGGGACGACCGCCAGGACTCCGGCGACGGCAACTTCAACTACAACTTCGAGGCCGAAAACGGAATCAGCGTTTCTGGTTCGGGAGCTCCAGGATCTGAGGGCCAGAGCAACATGCAAGGCAGCTACAGGTGAGTTTGGTCCTATCTCACTTCATTGTATTGAACACGTATAATGTTCTAACGGTACTGAGCATACTTAAGATATAGAGTAGCACATATCTTGCACATATCCCCGTAGATATATCAAATGCTTCTGTCAGCAACATGTAAGGCAGCTACAGGTGAGTTTGGCCATTCTCCAATTCACTTTATTTGATATACACAATGTGTCCCAAATGCATTGCCTTTATCATCGGCGCACACTTCAATTTCTTCATAATGTATATCCCCAATATATCATAAAGATTTCCATTACTGCTAGATTCACCCTTCCCGACGGAACCATCGCCGAAGTGAGATACGTCGCCGACGAGTTCGGATTCCGCGCCGAGTCCCCCCTCATCCCCACCCCCCACCCCCTCCCCGCCCACGCCATCGAGCAGATCCGAGTTGCTGAGGAACAACGGCGTCGCGGAATCACTTTCTAAGATTGAAATGGATTGAAGAATGAAACACTTTTTATCAATACATATAATGACTCTGTAAATATTTATCACCATCACAATAAAAAGGGCATTGCAACAAGTTCCTAAATTAGAAATCAACTGAAACCTTCTGTTATTCATAAAAAGGAAGAGTAAGAATATATTACAGCATTGAAGTTAAAAAGGTCGTTCGGAAAGGAATGTACCCTTTTCATTACAATATATTCCTACTAATCCCTAACGTATCCATGCCATCTGAAATAAGGCGGAATGGTCTACTAATGGTCATGCTCCTTTTGGGTTATTGAGTTTTGACCCCCCCCCCCCTACCCCTATAGGAACAAAAATGGTAACCCAAAATTCATATCAAAGTGAGAAATACCGAAAGGTATCACTGTTTTTCTTTTTTTTTTCCTTTTTTTTTCTTTTGTTTTGCGTCGACTGTCTGAAATCTCTCCTGACAATGTTAAAAAAAACTTTTCATTAATATCGTACAATGTTAAAAAAAACATTTCATTAATATCGTACAATATATCAAATACCACATTTATGCTTTATTCGGAACACTTTTGACCCTTTTGACACTACTAGCCTAACTCGTACTAACTAGGCAGATCGTGACCAGACCCGAGTATCGGAATGGTTAATTTCGTTTACAAGACCTTTCATTTGGTAGGAAAAGTTCAGAGTTAACACCATAAGAGTGTGTTGCTTGTCTTACAGTAATCTAATTTGATACTTATGATTTCCTATACTGTAAATTTTTGATAGATCTTTTCAATTCTCCGTTATTGTTGATGGGCAGTGTGTGAATAAGGGCGGGTCTAGAAGATATTACACGGGTTGGGGGCTATGAGGTTTTGACGGAGCATATGGATGAAAAAAATAATAAAACTTAAAATTGCATATATAATGTAATTACGATATGCACGGTTCACATCCATTATTATGTTGCATTACAATTCGGTCCAGCGATTTCAGAGGTTTGTGGGCACAGAGCCAGTGACAAAAGTATAAAGAAATAAAAAGAGGCACCTAGAAAGGGCTGGCAAGTCCCACAGTAGGGATAAGTTGCTCCCTATTGTCTTCTGTAGGACCACCACTAATGGTGAATGATAGTAGGAGAGATTGAGAAACAGAGATAGGGTAATGAAGACAGACAGAGAAAGAATGAGGTATACATACAGATAAACACTATACATAGGTGAGTCAATTGTCGGGTACACAGAGACTGAAAGCGATGAAGATTGCTAAATAAACACAGAAGTAACAACCGTAGGACAGACGGAAGAGAAAAGAAGCAAGGTAGAAACAGATAGAAATAGGAAGTAGACAAGAAGATATGTTAACAGTTAGAAGAAAAAGAAGGGAGGGGAAAATAACAGGGATATAGAAGAAAACAAAGAGATAGGAAGAAAGGCAGAAAAACAGAGCAAGGAAGATGTATAGATAGATAAAACACATTAAACAAAGAAAATGGAGGAAAATGGGAAATCACTGGATAGCCAGATTAAAAGAAGAAGGGGGGCAGGTAAACAGCGAAAGGGAAAGAGGGGAGGGTGGAAGATAGGGAGAGAGAAAAGGAAATACAGAATCAGAGAACTATGAACCAATAAACCTGGAAATAA